ACACACACACACACACACACACACACACACACACACACACACACACATATATACGTAAAGTCCCTTCAGCTGTGTTTCATCTATAACAATCTTTCCCCACAGCTGGGACCGGAGTGCTCATCCTCGCTGGGACGGATGAATCCCCTTCATCCTCCTCTGCTGTTATTCTCAGTAGTTTCTTTTTTCTTTTCACAACCCATTGTTTTTTTAAAAAGCTACAGTCGTCCTCTTTGAAAATAAATGCCTAGCTGTCCTCCGTCGCTGTTGATTTAGAGCCACAACAGAGGCGCGTTATGCTATTTTTGAGAGAGTTCTTGATTGCTCATCCTGCTTTTCTTTTTTGTTCCTGTGTTTATCCTGACATTATAGTTATCTATAGTGAGCAGAGATTGATTTATAATGAAAAGGATGAAGAGTTTAACATGGCATGAACACGCGGTTTGATTTTTCTGACAGTGAGCTGTTTAAAGTGGCATGTAAACACCATTGTATGAACTTGAGAGGAAGAAGGGTGCGTGATTTTCTGTGTAGTTCAACTAAAATATCTGTGCTTGCCTCATCCGAGTTAAGTTTTGCTCAACTGTTGTGGTGAAGCCACTTTAACCCGAGACAATGACAGAGTGGGAATGACAGCAGCGGCAAAGGACAAAGAGGGGAAGGCATTGGTGGGGAGAGAGGTAGAAAAAAAGCAGATACAGAAGAATAGTGACAAAATGTTCACTAGTACAAAGGCAGTGGCTCTGTCTTCTTCACTCAGAGTGCTATCTACTCCCTCGCCTGTGTATGTTTGAAACCCTACCTCCCCCAGTGCTTCTCTCCTCCCCTCCCCTCACCTCCTCCCTCAGTCTCTGGCTGAGGAATCCCAGGCAGCGTTTAATTGCAGAGTGCAAAGGCTTTAGTTGGGCTAATGAGCTCAGCACTGGAGCTGGGACTCTTTCACGCACTCTCTGAGAGACAGAAATCCTTTACCGGAGGAGCCTCGCGGGGCGGCTGGATTTTAGGTGGAGGGGGAAAAGAAGGATTTCATGAATTCAGGTACAACCGACTATGTGAGAGAATATACCAGAGGCTGGAGACGGAGTAAGAGGTGGAGAAAGAGAGGAGAGCGGGAGAGGGGAGGGGAGGAAACGGGAAATACACAGTCACAGAGAGAGAGAGAGAGAGAGAGAGAGAGAGAGAGAGAGAGAGAGAGAGAGAGAGGGAGAGAGAAAGCGAGAGAGAGAGGAAGCCTGCAGCAGCAAATGAGACAGAACAACGAGGCGGGAGAGGTAGAAAGAGAGACAGAGAGGAAGGGAGGTGGAGAGGGGCCCCGTGTAGGAGAGAGGGCTACAGGGTGAGGAAGAAGTAGAGGAAAAGTTAGGAGAAGTAGGAGAAGGAGGTTTTAGGGAAAGAAAAGAACGGGTGCAGAGATTAACAACTACAGGAGAGAAGAAGAAGGGAAACAACAGACAGGAAGGAAGGGGAAGGAGAAGTCTTGGGTAGAGAGGAAGAAAAAAAAAAAGAGCTGAAGAAAAGTTTTCTTCTGGGAAGACTCAGATGAGGAAAACAGAGCGAGTGAATGACTGGGCTAGAGAGAGCAGAGAGGGGAGGAAACCAATTGTTTTCTAAGGCATTTTCCACACAAGCCTCTGGACTTCTTTGGACATGTACACAGAAGGCTCACAAACAACGGGACATCACCGATTTCTTCAGCACATCAACACCCCCGCCCCCTGCTCCTGCCAGCACTGCGTCCACTATGAGCAGCCAGCGTACGGCCATCACGGTGGGCTGGGATACCAACCAGCATCAGCCAGACAGACAGACCACCCATCTCTGGACTGCAGGAGAGACACCCAGGCTCCTCGGGTTAAAGACATAGGAGGGAGAGCTTTCGTAGCGGACAGAGCTGAGAGAAGCGGTCATCGCAGCCCACAGAGGAGGCCTGTGTTCGCAGGGCTGGGCCCTTACAGCCAGTCAGACGACTTGAGCCAAGTTTGCCCCCGGGAGTTGAACCCTGCCCAGTGGAGCCACCCGCCAGAGCCTGGGGTGAGACACTACCCGTCTGTCAGAGAACAGTGTGGCTGTGTGGTGCGCAGCGACACCAGGGCACACCCCTTTAACACCGGGATACCACATCCTCGCCCCCATCTTCAGGTCAGAGGTCAGGGGTACAGGCACCGGAGGACTGTCAGGTATGTCTCAGTGGAAGAGGAGGAAGAAGGCTGCAGATGCAACTCTGAGAGCTATCATTCGGAGCCACACAATCCACATCTGGGTCGTTTACACACACCAAATTGCCACTGTGGACCGAGGCCTGTGTTCATTGAGGGAGGGGAGGAAAGAGATAGCCATCAGGACCGGGGCAGACTGAAGGGTGGATCAGAGGAGGGCTGTAATGGACGCGGTGGCTCTCACAAAGGTTTCTTCCCCACTGAAGTCCCACAAAAACACTTGAACCAAAGAAGACAGAAGGAGCCCGGCGCCCCACCCTCTGGAAACACCAGTCCAGAGCCCTCACAATCGACAGCCAACGGGGACCATCAGTGCCAGGGTTCGGATGTGGCGAAGCAGAAGAGGAGGCAGGATTCGGTGAGGGATAAAATCAGACAAGTGGTGACAAATCTGGAGGATGTGTTGGGGGGTTTGAAGCAAGTTCACGTGGAGATGAAAGAGGTAGGAGGGTCTATTATCATAGATGTTTATTCTTTACATCAAGCGTCTAAAGATGAAGGTCTGCGTGTAGGTGCAGATGTCTCAGCCTTTTATATATGCTCCCCTGGATATTGTGACATTTAAAAAGATTAGATTCAGACAAAAGTGCAGATCAGTTTGACACACGTTGTGTATCTGTGTGTCCATGTTCATGAGATCATGTCAGCATGTGTGTGTGTGTGTGTGTGTGTGTGCATGCTTACTGCATGTTTGTGACTCGTCTATCATCTCTTACCGAGAAGCTGTGATTGAGAACGATTTGCATTGACCTTTTTCAGAACGCTGCAGAAATTGGCAGCGTTCCGGCCAGCACATTGAAAAGCCCGGCTTCAGACTGTTACTAAATTGTGCCTTGCTCTTACAGTATCCATTTTGCATGCAGCTGTAAAATAGCTTTGATTCACAGCTGAATGCGTCTGTGCAAGGCCTGGCATTGTACTGAAACCACATTACAAGTAAAATGCCTCCATGATTGTGAATAGAAACAGCTGGAAACAAAAATACATCAAAATAAACTGGAAAAATACACGTTGGCAGTGCTGGAAGAAGTATTCAGATCCTTTACTTCAGTAAATTTACCAATACCATAACGTAAAAATACTCCATTACAATGTTAAGTCCTGCAGTTAAATACCACTTGTGAAAAAGTAGTAGAAAGTTTTATCAGCTAAATGTACTAAAAGTTTAAAAAAATGAAAGAAATGGCGCATCATAATCATATATGATATCATTAGATGGTTAATAGTGATGTATCAATGCATAAATCTGAATATTTCTTTTGTAGCTGGTCGAGGTGTTAACTACTTTATCTACAGCTCGATAGTTTAGTCCAGCGGTTTCCAACGAAGGGGTCAGAGGGACTTTAAGGGTCACAAGATACGTAACTCTGAGGGGTTGTGAGATGATTAATGGGAGAGGAAAGAGAAATAAAACTAAATGCGATGACACAGATCTATATTCATTTTTGAGAATATTCTCTGTATTTAGCTTTTTGTGAAATATTGGAAAGACTTACTTCTTCTACATGAAACCATCAGGGGAAACATCTCCTTGACTGAACTGCGAATAACTCATCTGAAATTAACACGCCTCAATTAAACGCTTTTTATTTTGTGAAGGGTTACAAGCCCAAAAAAGTTTAGAACCACTAGTATAATTTTTAAGAATGCATTGCATTTAATAAGTTTATTAAATGTTTTTAAGTAAAATGCTAATCTGACAAGTTATTGTCATTCAGGTGGTCCAGCAGATTGATCGTCTCACAGCCAGAATTGACCTCAGCGCCCCCAGCATCACTCAGGGGGCGTCCGGTAACTGTCACGGCTCAACTCATCCAGGTGACCCTAATCACAAGCCTGCTCCAGTCCAGGCGATGGAACACATCGTCGAAGACCGCATCATATTAAGAACTAACTCTCCCTCCCCTGTTCACATGGCATCCGTCGTCAAAACCAGCCGCTTCACCCCACCCAGCATCACTAAGGACATCAATCACGAAAGGACAGGCGTAAATGGCCACCCGCCTCACCTCTATCCCCCCAGAGACTCCAACCACGTTGGCCAAACTCGTCCTGAGCCCCACCCACAGAGCCTGGACCCCAAGGTCATTATTGGTAACAGCACCTCCAGTTCAAGAACTCAGAAGCCTCCTCTTTACCCTCAAAACGGGCGCTGTGGGAAGGGCCCGTACCCACCTCCCAAGCCTGTGAGGACCCCTGCCTACCCTGCGAGAGGCTGCCAGAGCACCAGCATGGTGTGAGGGAGGGGGGTGGGGGTGGGGGGGGAGGGGGGGGGGGTGGTCTGCCCCCGTGCCATGGGGGCCTGAAACATGAGACCCTGCTGCAGCGAGTGGAGGTCAGAGTGGCACCAGGCAGGGGAACAACTCATGGTAAGTTCAGACTTCTCCCTCTTGTTTTACACTGTTGATGTTTCCATCAGCGCTCGTTTGCCGTGTTTACTGGCAGCGTAGTTTTCAAAGTCAGTAAATGAATTGCAGTGTTCCTCCCCGTTACAAAAAAGGGTTTATGTGCGTGTTTGATGTCTGTGTGTGTGATGTCTGTGTGTGTGATGTCTGTGTGTATGATGTCTGTGTGTGGGCGGCGGAGGGGGCGTAATGTGTCTGCTTTTGTTGATGTCACATGATTTCCCAGTCTTCACTACACTGCAAAATGTGTCTGTCTTGGCAAGTGAAATGAGTATTTACACTTCAGATTGGTGACACGTGTGGGAAAGTCACCCAGCAGGTTGAGAAAATGTCACTTGTGGAAGTAAAATTAAACTTTTTTTGAGTAGATTTGAGGAATATCTGATCTTGCAAAAGAAGATTAGACATTGGTTATTAAACATCTTAAAACAGAACTCAAAATGAAGGCGAGATTTATTGAAGCAGCTTAAAAAGTATTTGATTTTTGACAATCTTTCTCACTTTAATCACTTGAATCTGACAGCAAAAAAGCAAGACAAAATCTTAAAACGGACTTTCTTTTGCAGTGTAACTTAGTCATCACTTCGAGGGAACAGAGTTGGCAGGAGCTTTTCGTTTTTGGCAACGGAAGACCCCACAGCCGCTTGACTCCAATCATGTGACACAACGGAAGCGTCATTATATTTACAGGATGACCATCGCTCTGACTCAGAATTGGCTGATTTACTGTCATACGGGTTGCAGAGAAGAAACTCAAGCCTTCTTCTCGTGTCACAGTCAGAGGTTTCCTTTATGACTATGAACCAGGAACAGATTTAATAACAAGATGACATCTGTGAAAAAAAAAACTTCCAACATACAGTCCCTTCAAAAAGTCCACCTTTACAAACGCTGCAGAGACAGTGGATGTTTCTGTACTTCCCTCTTGTGCAGAGTATGCGTAACTGCAATCTGTTTTTCTTGCCTTTCTGAGTTGGGCAAGCACAATCTGGTTTTAATCATAAAACCCCCTGGCCACATGCCAGAACGGAGTGAGGCAAACTTGGTATATTTGTGACGTCCACATAAACATAAGCGCCGCTGCACGAGTAAAGCAGCTCCTCACATTAAGCTGCAGGGAGAGCCACGCTACAAGCTTCAGGTCGAGGCTGGCTGCCAGAGAAACGTGTCGGAAAAGTGCATGCGCTTGAGCTTTCATTTATAAAATGAGACGAGAGTTTTATTAGCTGTAAGTGTAATGTAGCTTTTCTGTTCAACACAGCCCTTTCTTTTCACTTTCACAAGTCTTTCAAAGCACCGATGCATTTGACATTTTAAAGGCCTGAATCATCTGAATTAATCACCCAAAACAGGTTCAGTGTTAAAATAGCACAACAGATTATGTGGTACGTAACCAAGCCCCACACACACACACACACACACACACACACACACACACACACACTCCCTAACCTTAGTCTTAATACCCAAACAGCTCTTCATTGTTTGATTATAGGATCAGCATTAGCTAATGTGGTGTCCATGGATACATCCAAAGGAGACATTGTAAAACGAATTTTAACAGTTCAACTTGTATACTCTGTTTTCACTAATTTGTACTTTGTATTTACATGCTGTGGGAATATGCTTTGTGTTTCTGTTGCTGCACAATCAATTGCCTTTTGGCAGTCTTCTGGGTTAATCCGTGATTAGAAGTAGGCCCGAGACTCACTTGCAAAGACAAGTACTGGCATAAATGGCCTAACTTCCCATAATGGGTTTAAAACTACATTGGTCTTCACAAAGACATAAGTACACAAACACACACGCAAACAGCTATTGCCACAGCAACACTTGATCCAATCTGGTTTACAGTGCTCCTCCAGAAGCGAGGCATCATGACTCACACACACACACAGACCTTCACTGTCAGTACAATAGAGATTAACACAGTTTCTATGGCTCCATCAATGAATGATGAAAAGCCTTGAGAAGAAGCACGGTTTGTACATATTTCAGTCTGAGCTCACTGAGATGCTGAGTTCAGAATCTAAATTATACCCCCCCTCCCCTCCCTCTTTTGTCATGATGTTTCCAGCAGGAGCTGATGCCACTGAGACAAGCTGTCAGCCGGTGGAAACAGAGCACGGCCTGAAGGTGGGGATATTTCCAAAGGGAAAACTCCCCCCCCCCCCC